CCACAGTGGCGGCGACCAGGACCCAGCCCCCACCCGCAGCAGCGTGGGCGCCCCGGGGACAGGAGCACAGCTGCGAGGTGACCCACGTCCACATGGTCCCCACCACGGGCCAGGTGGGGAAAGAGCCTTCTAAAACACCATGGTGGAGCTAGGCCTGCATCCAAAGGCAGAGCTGCCAGCACCCGTCAGTTTTTCCGGCGCCACGGGACAGACGGCTGTGTCGTCACCTGCCAGGTGAATGGGGGGATGACCAAAGAGGGGGATGACCACCAGAGGGGCGCGGCTATAAAAAAAGCCGTGCAGCCCATCTTCATTTCCCCCTGGATCCCCGTTTCCTTCCCCAGCCCGAAAGGCGCGCTCCGGCAGACCCGTGCACCGCCGGTTCTCACGCTAGAGGTCCCCACAGGCCCGCAGAACCCTTCCCGGCGCCTCGGGGGGGCTTCCCGCAGGGAGGGGACGGGCAGATCCCTTCCCAGCCCCGCTGAGGTCCCCCGGGCCCCTGCAGGAGCCTCGACGGCCCCCCTGCGGGACCACCCGCCAGGTCACAAAATCGTCTCCACCCCTTGGAAGTGCTCCTAGTCTCTCCGCCAAAGATGCTCTACCTCCTTTTGTCTCCAGCCATAAAAACAGGCACCTTCAATGCCTCTCCAAGCTCTCAAAGCGGGTCTGTAACTTTAAAACATCTGGGTTTAAACAGATGTTTCCTCTGGCTTGGTTGCGAATGCCTGTTCCTGGAAGTTTGCCCGTGTCCTCTGATGCTTCAGCTGCTTCTCCCACCTCCAGCGCTCGGTGCTCTGCCTTTGGGACTGCTCCCTCGATTACCTGCTCCGGCACTGCGCTGGATTTGGGGGTGGAGGCATTTTCTGCTGTTTTTCTTTCCTCCATCTTATGCTTTATCATATTTTAGGTATGGCTCAAAAGATTTCTCTTTGGGGCAGAACGTGTGTGAATTTCTAACGTCAAAAAAATAATAAAGAGCAATAGAAATTAGTCCCTCCCTCCAAAAGAAAGTCAAAATAGGAGTGTTAGCAGGCCTGGGGCATGAAGAGGTTGGGCTCTGATGGGGGGAGGCACATTCGGCAGATGCAAGGGCACTACCGAAGTGAGCGCAGGGGGAGCATGCCTGCTTCTCTTAACCTTGGCCGTGGAAAGGGGGCCTTTACCACACTTCATTTTTGCCGGGATTAAATTTCCTCTGGGTGCCGTATCATGGCCATACGCCTGCCCTGGTGAGGAGCAGCGTGTCCCCCCGGCTCCATCCCAGTGGGAAGAGAGTCAGGGCTGGAGGCACGCTGGGGAACCGTCCTCGCAGCCGGGGCGCGGGCTGGACGGCAGCATGGCTTTTCCAGCAAGGCTTGGCCCCCTGCCTGCCCTGACGGCTTTTATCAGTTGGTCCCCTTTGCGAGAGCACAACTTATCGCTCCCAAATGCGGTGCAAAACCCACAGGTGACCACAGCTGCTGCCTGCCTCTCCGCCAAAGATGCTCTACCTCCTTTTGTCTCCAGCCATAAAAACAGGCACCTTCAATGCCTCTCCAAGCTCTCAAAGCGGGTCTGTAACTTTAAAACATCTGGGTTTAAACAGATGTTTCCTCTGGCTTGGTTGCGAATGCCTGTTCCTGGAAGTTTGCCCGTGTCCTCTGATGCTTCAGCTGCTTCTCCCACCTCCAGCGCTCGGTGCTCTGCCTTTGGGACTGCTCCCTCGATTACCTGCTCCGGCACTGCGCTGGATTTGGGGGTGGAGGCATTTTCTGCTGTTTTTCTTTCCTCCATCTTATGCTTTATCATATTTTAGGTATGGCTCAAAAGATTTCTCTTTGGGGCAGAACGTGTGTGAATTTCTAACGTCAAAAAAATAATAAAGAGCAATAGAAATTAGTCCCTCCCTCCAAAAGAAAGTCAAAATAGGAGTGTTAGCAGGCCTGGGGCATGAAGAGGTTGGGCTCTGATGGGGGGAGGCACATTCGGCAGATGCAAGGGCACTACCGAAGTGAGCGCAGGGGGAGCATGCCTGCTTCTCTTAACCTTGGCCGTGGAAAGGGGGCCTTTACCACACTTCATTTTTGCCGGGATTAAATTTCCTCTGGGTGCCGTATCATGGCCATACGCCTGCCCTGGTGAGGAGCAGCGTGTCCCCCCGGCTCCATCCCAGTGGGAAGAGAGTCAGGGCTGGAGGCACGCTGGGGAACCGTCCTCGCAGCCGGGGCGCGGGCTGGACGGCAGCATGGCTTTTCCAGCAAGGCTTGGCCCCCTGCCTGCCCTGACGGCTTTTATCAGTTGGTCCCCTTTGCGAGAGCACAACTTATCGCTCCCAAATGCGGTGCAAAACCCACAGGTGACCACAGCTGCTGCCTGCGGCTTCTTCCTTTATCTCTAGTTATCAGCCAGAGCATGGAAAAAGGGTCACAAGGCTGAAAATACCCCGGGGAGCCCAGATGCCCTCTCCCTCCAGCCCTGTGGCAGCTTGCAGCCTCCTGTTAGGCTGTGAAAATACATACTGGCATCCCCAGCTGCACAGGTGTCGGAAGGACATGCCACCTTGTCCAGAAGGAAAGGACTGATTTAAAAAAGGCCACAAAGCCAGATCATATTTTTTTTGCAGAGCTAAAAACCTCCAACCCTCTTCCGAGCTGGAGGGAAATGCTGCTCACAGTGTCAGATGGGTGTCCTAAAAGAGCTGGGGGGATTTGATGTGTTAACGCTGCGTGAGGTGAACTTGGGAGACTAAACAAAAATGGAGGAGAAGAGGCTGAATGCACGCTCGTGCTTTCTCACTGCCCACTTTTCAGGCTCTCACTCCACCGGTGCAGCCACCGAGGATGGAGCAGCAGCACCCCAGCCCCAGCTGCTTGACCTCCAGCCAGGCAGCAGGGAAGAGAAACCTCCCCCTCGGCTTTGGGGTGCTGCTACCCATGCTCCCGCAAAAGGATGGGCTAGAGGCAGGGGAGAGGAGGTTGCCCCAGGAGGCAAAACTACATCCA